GTTTTATCTTGGCAGCGTTATGGATAGAATTAACCTATCACCTCACTAATATTTTAATGTATATATAATTTGAATGCTGCATTCCTAAAATCAATATTCATTATTCGAGGTGATAGCAGAGCTAAAATTAGTCCTTTTGCTATATTAAGAATATCAGGATGATCATGTGTTATTAGGATTAGCGACCTCACGAAGACACACGTCTTCATACACGTGAGCAGGGCATGGTGCTAAGCAGTGTGGCAGCGCACCCTCAGCATCATCCCTGCCGCCTCTCCGGGGAGCCAGATCCTGCCCTGCCTCCTGCCCGCGGCAGTCCTGGCGAGCCACCTGAATTACGCCAGAGTTAAGCCGCGGCGGCAGGTGAGGCGATCTGGGGCGATGTGCCAGGCGGACACAGGGACAGTGGATTTTTGTTTATTTTTCTGCCCAGGGCGGTCAGACCTGACGTGGGAGGTGGTGATTTGAAATCCTCAATTTACAGGTTTTGACAGCAGAGCAGGGCGTGTGCTAGGATGGACTGGTTTTCTCCCTTATTTTTCTTCCTTCTCTTGCTGATTTGCAGCCAAGCCTCGCCGTTAGCCCCTTGGCCGCTGACATGCGTTAGCAAGGCGTGGGATTTTGGGAAAACTCCTGTGCATTCTCCATTTGCTTTGGTTACGCACAGCCACACGTACGCCAGTCCAGAGCTGTGGGCATGCCCTGGTGCTGGAGATCATGCTGGAGACCAGTTTTTCTCATAGCAGCTGATACGAGAGGAGAAAAGGTGGAGAGTTTACATCTTTTACATGCGAGTCAAGAATTGATGTGTTACTAATTGCTGTCATAGAAAATAATATCCCTCAGAGGATGTTGTTATTTTATAAACAAGGAGATAATTTACAGCTCAATTACTTAAATCATGAGTTAATTGCTAAGCGTAATGAATAAATACATTTGCAAGTACAACATTTAATTTGCACAGATTCCAGTAGTCTAGGCATTAAGAGGCAGATCATTATTTGATAAGTAATCTGGAATGTCGTATGAAATGACATTTATTTTCACATGTAATCCAAATGATGAAATGTCCTGAAATGAGATTTCAAGGGCCTTGTCCTTCCTCCCCTGCAACGAAGGGCAGTGCTTTCATCAGCTGCCTCACAAATACGTTCAGGCTGCCTGGGAGCACAGGGGAAGGCAGGAATCCTCCAGGCGCAACAGAGAGAGCAGAGTAGCAAACCTAGGTTCGCACAGGTGCAATTTTTTAATACTACGAAATGCAAAGGGAGAATACAGAGACAAAAATCGTGGATGTCTGTGGTGGGCTGGGAGGCTTCACATCAGTGTTAGCTGATGGCAGGACGACTGCGGGGCTGTGAAAAACACAGGCAGGACCCGAGGAGGTGAGCGGGGAGTACTTCTGGCGACAAAAGGGAGGTGTTAGTGCCACAGCCTGAGCACCAGTGAGGCCCCAGCTCTCTGCGAGGATGCAAACAGAAGCAGCAACAAATAAACCCAGCAAAGGGGGTTTTTGCAGCCCACTGCTGTCTGTGCATGCCCGACAGCCTCTGTTCTCTCTGCAGGAGGCTGCAGGAGTTTGGAGGCTGCGGGACTTAGTGCCCGTCATAGGCAGGTCCCGTTTTGCGGAGCGTGAGGAGCCCTGCCTGCTGCCTGCCCGCTGCCGCGCTGGCTGCCGGGGCTCGGGGCGGCCGGCGCCGGCCCCAAAAAAAGGCCCCGCTCGGCCCGGCTGCCGCTGCCCCAAATAAGAGTCCAGGCAAACAGCAGGCACCTGCCCTTCGGTTGCTCCTCTTGAATAATCTTGGGCTACTGGTGCCCTTTCGCAGGCTCATATCTTTATTGGAGGCTGTTAAAGCCAAACCTCCCAACAGCAATAACATGACTACAAAGCATTTCTAAGAAAAAGTACGTGGGAATAAGGGAGATACTGAGATCCCAGCCAATTTCAGCACAATACAAGTCTGAAGTATCCTTATAAAGTTAACAAGTCAAATTTAAATGTATACAAGGCTCAGGAGCATACAGGAAACAGGATCAGCCAAACCTTCAAAGGCACATCATTGTCTTTCAGAAAGTCCACTGAAAGGCCCATGCCATAAAAAAGGTGTATTCACAGGCTGATACAGTGATAAACCTGGTGGAGAAATGCCAGCAGCCAGAGCGGGCAGGGATGCTCGCTGCAGGGATGTTACAGTGACCCAGTCCGTTGTTACGGAGCGCTTTGTCCTGCTCTCTCTGCTGCTGCCCCACAATAAAACGGGGTTCTTGCGGTGTAAATCTGGAGAGAGTTTGGCAGGTGATTTCTTCTGACGCAAGCAGCGACCCTTGCCACCGGCTTTAGGATAGGCGAGCCAGCCTTTGCAATCCTGCTGCTGGAGAGGGGCAAGAAAATAATGCTCGTGCCTCACCCAGCACCATCTCCATCGCGCTCCTGAGCAGCACAAGCCGCAGCCAGGAGTGCAGCACACGGTGGTGCACTCCCTGCCACCTGTGTCATAAGCACCCTGGATGCCACAGGCAGGAGAGGACAAGGAAAGAGCTAGAAGAGGCTGCTTGTGCTGCACACCCAGGAGCTTGTCCCTGCTTTCTCCTCGAAGCGAAAGGCACCTGCGGATTTGGAGTGCGTCTGCTGTAGGCACCTGGAGAACAGCTTGTTTCAGCAAGGGGAGCTGGAGGGGACCTCGCGGAGTGTTGCAATGTGGAAACCATGCCAAAAGGTCCCAAGCCTGCCCCTATTTAACTCCCTTAAGTACCAGATTAATAGCCAAATGTGCTCATTAAATGCCAAAGACCTGGAGTTCATTCAGCCTGCCTGGGTGGTGTCGGCATGGCTAGTTTACCATGCCTGATCTTTCCGTCTCTGGTGTGCTATTTGTGGACAGCAGGCTATATTCTGCCTTCATCATGTGCTGTTGTGTGTTTATACATTTTACCCATCTGTTCGAAAGCAAGAAGCGATGCCGCATGACTTAAGCAACCAGCCATGCTCTCTAAATAGCAAAGCATCCAAGCAGGCTAGATTGCAAACCATCCAACGGCTGCAATAGATTGGCATAGAAGTGTTGAGAAAATGCCCTGCCACGAAGACATAGGAAAAACCAAGGTCATTTCATGGCTTGTTTGTGAGCGGGAAGCTAAACCACCCCGATGTGATGCCTCAGAAGAGGCCAGCAGATCTGGGATGCATGCTGCAGGACCTAGCGTGCAGGAATTCATGAACCATAAGGCCTTGTCAAAAATAATTTTTAAATGAAATGCAGTGTCCTAGCAAAACACGTCTGAGACATAAAACAAAACCAAAGTACAAAATGTGGCGTTTAAGGGCTGGATTCTGTCTCAAGTGAATAGAAGCCACATGCATCCATCTGAGATCAGATTTTGGCCTGATTTGAAACTGTGCTTGTGGAGCTGCAGCAAGATCAGGCAGAGGAAGGCTCCATCTCCTTTTACATACGTCTAGACCAGACCAGCCTTTCTGCGCTTCCCCGAGAGTGAAAAGGCTTCTGGCACCAGCCCCTGTGTGCGTTAGCTCACCGGCTGCGGGATGGAGGGTCCTGGGGCTGCACCAGGCAGCGTGGCGGCTCAGCTGCCTGCTTCACACCATGTGCAGGCAGCAGCAAGGCTGCTTCCATCTGCCTGAAAGCCGGGTCCAGACCAGCACATCCTGTGCCTGTGCTGCCCGGGGCAGGTTTGGGGGTGGTGAGCTCCCAGCAACACCACTGTGCACCGAGTGTCCTGCAAAAGTGCCGGTATCGAGGCTTAACCTTTATTAATTGGGGAGAGGAAGAAATAATGCTGGCAAAATATTGTCAAATACTTCAAATTAATGATTAATTCTAGATGGAGTGATACTGTTTGATGTGGTCTTTGCTGGTTTAAACAGGAGAAGGGTGATTCACTCTAAAGGAATTTATAAAAACACGAGTATTTGCTCATGGACAATAAATACTGGGGCAGATAAAAAGGGGGATGAAGTGTTCGGCGTCGTGATAGCAACTCCGCTTGAGAAAACTTTTGACCTTCTCACATCTTAAATCAATGCGACCCCCCCCCCCTTGCTCTCCTGCAGGCCTGCCCTTGAGGCCGAGGGGACAGGTACGTGGGAGCACGCCGGGCTCGCCACGGGCTGCGTCGCCGGCAGGTCCCCCTATCTCCCTCCCGTCCCCGCAGAGAGGCTCGGGCCCCCGCCAGCGCCCAGCGAGGGGCACGGGGCAGCACCCGAGAGCAGTTTACACAATCTGTGTACACAGCATCATCTGTCAATTTGCCTGTTGTAAATGTAAGTGTATAAACCCGGCACTGAGGCTGCTGTGGTTTACAGAGCTGCCCCGCCTGGGAAGCCGAGATTTACGCTGCCTGCTGGCGAGCGAGGCGTCCCGTCCTGTCCCCTCCCGTCCCCTCCCGGCACGGGCAGGCGGGATGCCCAGGAGAGATGGCTGCAGGCAGCAGAGAGCCCATTAATAACCCAGGTGGAGCTGCAGCAGAGGCGCCGGCAGCGCTACGCATGCCCCACGGCACCTGACAGCCATTGGATGTGTACCTGAAGGAGCGAGCTTGCTATCTACCTTTCCCGTGGGAATACGATGCAGCCAGGATAACCCCTGGACCTCACTGGGGCTCTGCCAGTGCCATTAAAGTGTTGACGTCTGCTGGTTACCCTGACGTGATGCTGGTTTTATTGAGACAAGATTAGCCACTCACACTTTGAAGGGAGGCCGGGCACATACTGTCACTGGCTGTCCCCTGCCAGGAAGGGCTCTGGAGCCTCTTTTCACTCTGGACTTTCTTTCTTTACAAAAATCTAACTATTTTTTCCCTAAAAATAACAGCAAGGGGGTGAGTGCTGGGAGCGCATGGGGCAAAGTCCCTGAGCTCGTGTCCAGCCTTGCCGCGGCTGCTGCGGGGTGGCCGGTGGCGCAGGGTGGCCTTGGTCACAGCAGCTGGCGGTGCGGGGCTGACGGAGCGGAGCTGGCGGTACCCGCGGAGGGCTGAGCCCCTACCTGCGGCCGTTCCCGCGGCATCGCCTCGCAGGCTGTCAGCGAGCCTTTCATCGCAGACCCTACTGACATCATCCTTTCCAAAACACCTGAGCTCCTCGTGGTCCCTGTGCTCATAACACTTGGAAGTGACAGCAGCTTCTGGTTTCAATTAACCCAGGGGCAGTTTGGGGACTATCTGATTGCACAGGAGTGGAGGGGAGAGCAGAAAAGGCCTTTCCAAGCAGTGGCGATGGAGTGTGTGGGTGAGGAACTTCTGAAAAAAGCAGATGGTTTCTCTCTTTCCTTCCTCCTTCTTTTCCTTGTCTTTTTTTTTCCCTGAATTCTGCAAAACAGACAACCCAACAGCACATTTTTCACCATCAAAGCTTTGCTGAAGGGAATTCTCCACTGCTATTTCATTTCTTCCTGATGTTCACAGATCATAAAGCAAATGGCCTCTGGAGGACAAGGAGAGCAGATCTGTCCCGGGGTCACAGCAGAGGACCAGCCCGGCACCCTTGGTGCACGACAGCCATTCCCCGGCAGCTGGCAGCCAGGGGAAGCACACGTGCATCTGCCTTTGGATGCTGGGTACCAAGCACGGCACCGCAGCTGGCTGCTGCCGACACAGGAATCTGGGACACACAGAGGTTGGCAGAGGTCCGTGACCTCCGCCTTGGACATCTGCACAAGGATAACAGCCATGAGCAGAGGCTGCCTGCAGCAGGGGAAAGCAGACACCGAAGTCCCTGGGCTGGCCCTGCTAACTAGGTTTGCTGTCCTCGGAGGAGACACAATTGCAGGTCAGCAAAGGCAGGTCCCACCTGGAGCATTCCTCCTGCAGCCTTCCCACGGTCACGCAGCAGCCAGGGATCCCAAATCTTGTGTCTCTGGGAGATACAGGGAGGGAGGAAGCCATAATCCCATGAAATCCCAGCCCACAGTGTGACGGTCCCTTAAATTGCTCTCACTTGTGTGCAACATGTTTAATGCCTTTTGGAAGAGAGGTAGTTAACGGAGGACATGTAAATAGAAAATAAGATTGAAGGGCAGACAGGGCTAGAGAGTTCTGTCATGCTAATCCGAGGTCTGCTTTTTTAAGACACCATTTTTAGACCTGGCAACGCCAGTTGATTGCTGCCCCCTGCGATGGTGCATGGCAGCGCTGGCCGTGCCATGGGAAGATGCTCTTTGAAGTGGAGGAGCGAGAATTCAGCCCAGGAGCTGCAGCATGGGGAGGGGCAGGAGCAAGGGATGGCGGCCAGTTGTGCTTGGAGGGTTGGGGAGGACACTGATGGCTCTGGTCTTCTTCCACCAGTGACTTGGACACAGAAAGGGAGCATTTGCTTGCAAAATGTGTTTCCCCAGCTGGGAGAGTGAGATGTGGAGGCTGGCGTGGGGCTGGGAGCTGCTGCCTGGTCCCTGGGGCTGCCTGCGAGGGTGGGTGGCCAGACAACATGCTCACTACACACGCATAGCCCAGTCAGAGGAATCAAACTGCAGAAGGGAACGACAAAAGTGCTGGGAAGAAAAATGGGGCTGAAATGATCACTGGGACTGGGAAGGTCTGGAGCAAGTCCTGGCAGGAGTGGCAGCAGCCAGAAAATAACCTCATCGCTCGCTGGAGCCTGAGCCACACGTGAGACGGATGAGCTGGCGTGGGCTGGTGAGGTACGGGCATCCCCTGCACCGCATCTCCATGGCCTCGTTCACCACCACTTGCGCAGAAGCACAAGGTCGCTCCTTGCCGTGAGCCTGAGGAGGAGGCACTGGAGGCAGAGGCGAGGAGCAGCCAGCCCTGCGAGGTTTATCACCGTCATGCTTGTCACCTCTGACATCAGCTCTATGCCTTGAAGATGTCCCTTGCCTAAGGAAAAGCCACTTACAGGCTCCATTCCCTGGATGGTGAATGGCAGTGACCCTGGATTGGGGTGTGGGTTGCAGTGAAGGAATGGTGCACAGCGATGGCGCCCCACGCCGCGATACTGCCGGCAGTGCAGAGCCACAGTGCTGAGCGGGGTCTGTCCCTGCACCCCGGGGATCCAGGGAGCTGCTGACCCAAACATGGCAGGTTTTGGGTGAAAGCAGGCTATCTCTGAAGGTGCTCCAGCCCCGCTCCCCACGTGCCATGGGGATGCCCGGCAAGGACCGCTCACCTCCTCCCCACCTGCACCCCGGGGACCCATCCAGCCCCCGCACTGAACCAGGAGCGGGGTCGCGGGGTGAGGATGGCCGCGGGGCTCGCCGGCAGCCGGCACAGCCTGACGGGCCTGGAGCCAGCCCAGCCAAAGAGTTGATGGTTTTCACACCCCGTCAGCCTGATGAACGGCCCCGCTCCCTTGGCGCTCAGCGCCTGCAAGGGTCAATTACAGCGATTACTTCAAGGAGTCAAACCAGCTGCCAGCAGCTCTGGAGAAAATCTTTGTTTCGGGTTCGGCTTTTTCACGGGAAGGAAAGAAGTGCCTGGGCGTGCGGCGGGGGGTGAAAGAGCCTCTACTGTACATGGGGCAAAAGTCAGGGGGTGGCCGGGTGTTTGGGGGGAGGAGGACTGCCCCCAGGCCAGCTGCCCTGTTCTGCTAGCGCGACTCTGAGCAGCAGTCGGGGCCTGTGCAGCCCCCAGCCCTCTTGGTGACACAGGAAGGGCCTAAAAGCAGCCCAGCAGTTACAGGGAGAAGCTAATGAGGCAGTTAGTGGTGGAGAGAGCCTTCAGAAGTGGACATGGTGCTGTAATGTGAGAAACAGAAAAAAGCAAAACCCTGGCAAGTTAAAAGTAAAGTCACAATAAAGGTGAATTAAAAGTTTGGGGAAGAACTTGCTAAAGGTATTAAAAGCTGAAAATAAGCATGTTTGCGTACATGCCAGGAGCAGGAAACCAGCCAGTGAGCCAGTGCAAGTCATGGATGATGGAGGCATGAACAGAGCACCCAGGGAAGGCAAAGCCTCAGCAGAAAAGCTGAGGGGTGGTTTGAAGATCGGGGAGGATGCTCAGGCAGTGCCCCTGCAGCAGCCTTCCTGGCGGGGACCTGCTGGAGACATCTTCCAGCAAAGCGAGGAGCTGCGGAGTGGCATGTGTCCGGGACAAGGCGATGCCAGCCCAGCTGGGGTCGGTATCCAGCCCCTCCTGCCAGCCTGGGGCAGCGGGTGGGGAAGGCGACACGAGCCAGAGGGGCTCAGGGGATGTCACAGGCAATTTGGGAGAAGTCATCTATAACAGTCTGGGTCAATACAGCGCTTGAGGAAGACTCAACACCACTTTGCAGGAAGAAGCCATGCCTCACAAATCAGCCAGGTCACCGAGCGTGGCGAGCAGAGTGATGCGCCGGTCATGGGGCAGCGGCACTTCCAAAATGGTTTTGCCTCAGCACCTCTCCAAAAACCCCTGAATGCCCAATGGACTGGAGGGACATTCACCTTGCAGGGAGAAAACAACTGGTTAAAAGACTTGGGGGTCACCAAATGTAAAGCTACTGTGAGCAGGAGCTCACAGTATTAAACTTCAGGCTGGTAAACTGGCAGATGAAATTCAGTATTGACAAAGGCAAAGCAGCAACCCACAGAAAAGCAGCCCTAAGTAGCTGTGCAAAACGCTGACCTCCTCTTCTGTGATGCTGGGTGAGAGCCAAGACAGCAAGCGTAATGCATGATTAGGAAAGGAAGAGAGAACAACTAAATAGATCCTCCTCTTGAGTATTATGTGCAGCTCTTTTCTCAAAAAGGTTGTAATGGGAGTAAAGAAGTATGAAGAAAGGCCTTAGAGATGCTTGGGTGAGGAAAGATCAGGAAAGATCAGCTGTCCATGTCACATAAGCTTGGAAAAGCTGAAGGGAGATGATGAAGGTCCCAGGAGCCAGAGTGGCAGGTGGAGGGAGAGCTGGCATCAAACTGGGAAGAGTGAAATCATGGTGAGAACAAGTCCAAAACAAAGAGGAGGAAGCCCTTGCCTTCACCAGGCACCGCTCAGCTGCAAAACCCTCTGCCATGGGCTGCTGTGGCAGCCAAAAGCACGCAAGGTGGGGGAAGCTGCACCCACTGATGCTCTGAGTCAGCCTGAGACACCGACTGCAAGCAGCTGGGACGGAGCTCGCTCCCACCGGCCCTGCTGCCCTGCTCCTCCGCCAGCCCCGTGCCTGCCACTGGCACAAGCGGGGGGGGTACTGGGGGCTGGCACCGCTCCTGCAGGAACAGGAGTATTTTGGCACCTGGCGTGCTGCAAGCTGGCAATCCTTGGCCTGGGAAAGGGGTGAAGGAACCAGAATACCAGACTATAAGGCTGAGCTCAGCACACGGAGGCACCTTCTGGGATGCAAATAGTTGGGCAGGGAGCTGTGCCCCGGTGCTTTACTTTCCATGTGCCGTGCTCTGGCTCTGAGCTGCCGGACAGAAATCCTCCCCTGCCTGCCACTGCTACCTCTGCTGCACAGCGCCTTTGCCCCTCCCTGGTTTTTATGAGCAAGAATTGACCAAGACTTTCTCTGTCAGATTGAAAAATATCTTGAGTCAGGAAGAAAAAGAAGTCAAACCTGCCTCTGCGTCGCTCCGGGGCTCTCCCGGGCGTCTGGGCTGTGAGTGCTGGATGCACAGCCTGGTGCACCCACAAGCAGAGCGAGGCAGCAGGGCAGCAGGGCTCGGCTGTCAGGGCAACGCGTGGCTTTTGGCAAGCTGTTCTTTTTCTGGTGCAAAGCCATTTGCTGCCTATAAGGCTGGCCAGCCCTGCTCTGAACCTGGAGCACCTGCAGGAGAGCTCAGCTCCACACCAGCATCCAACCCCTCCAAACGCCCAGCCGCGGGCAGCCCCCCGGGCTCCTCCTGCCCGCAGCAGGCAGCCTGGCCAGTGCCAGCCACCCCGGCTGCCGCCCCCATCGCCATCCCGCACGCGAGGGCCAGGGGCAGAGGCCCGGCCGCCGGCATCGCTTGCCCTTCGGGGTGCGGGCCGGGGGTGGGATTTGTAGAGATTATGCCGGAGGAATGACAAAGGAGCAGACTTTCCCACAGATGCTTCAATTGCCGCTCTGAGAAAGTGTGTGAGCCGAGGCGGCCCGCCT